AAGGCAGGGAGATGCAGGCTAGGGTGGGATTTCTGCTGAGAACCAAGGGAAGAGAGGGGGAAGGGGTGGGCAAAGGAGGAGAGACCTACCACTTTACAGTCTGTTGCTGGGTCAGGGCTCTCACCTGGGATGTGGGATCTAAGGTTCAAGGCTCTGGTCCAAATGGGGCAGAGCAGGGACTTGAAATGGGCTCTCCCATTCCCTTGCATCCCTGGTCAATGTCATAGCCACTGCCTTCTGGCTGTAGTGTGTGTGTATGTGTGTGTGTGGGGGAGAAAAGCAGAAAGTGTGAGGAAGAGGTCACAGCCATGTCCCAAAGTGGAGTAGAGAGATTCCTTCCCTCCCAAGCTCCATATGCAGATGCCAGCTCCATTTGCAGATGCTGTAATGCAGTGATGTGTATAGGGAAGGGGTGGGGCTGTTTTCAGGAGCAGGGGGCTTTGGCGTCACTGTGTCCTTTACTGATTGCTGTGTCTGTCCCCAGCTGACCCTCGTGCCCTGTGGCTCATGCAGGGCTGGCTGTTCCACCACCAGCCAGATTTTTGGCAGCCAGCACAGGTACGGGCACTGCTGCAGGGTGTGCCCCAGGGTCGCATGATTGTGTTGGACCTTGTCGCTGAGTCGGCGCCTGTGTACCTGTGGACAGAGTCCTTCTATGGGCAGCCCTTCATCTGGTGCATGCTTCACAACTTTGGTGGCAACCATGGCCTCTTTGGTGCAGTGGAGAGCATCAACCATGGCCCTTTCGATGCCCGGCACTTCCCTAACTCCACCATGGTGGGCACTGGCCTGACTCCAGAGGGTATCGAGCAGAATGACGTGATGTACGAGCTGATGAATGAGCTGGGCTGGCGCTGGGAGCTGCTCGACCTCCCGCTGTGGATCGCGAACTATGCTGAGCGGCGCTACGGTGCCAAGAATGCAGGGGCCATTGGCGCCTGGCAGCTGCTTCTACGCAGTGTCTACAACTGCTCAGGGCCCTGTGTGAACCACAACCATAGTCCCCTGGTGCACCGCCCATCCCTGCGCATGAACACAGAGCTCTGGTACAACAAGAGTGACGTCTATGAGGCCTGGCACCTGCTGGTGGGTGCTGCAGACGAGCTGGGTGCCAGCCCCCTTTTCCGCTATGACCTGGTGGATGTGACCCGCCAGGCCATGCAGCAGTTGGTGGGTGATTACTACCTGGAGATCAAGCAGGCCTTCCAAAGCCACTCGCTGCCAGACCTGCTCACTGCTGGAGGTGTGCTGGTCTATGACCTGCTTCCGGAGTTGGACAGCCTCCTGTCCAGCGACAGCCACTTCCTGTTGGGCCGCTGGCTGGAGGAGGCTCAGGCTATGGCCACCAGTGACAAGGAAGCTGAGTTGTATGACCTGAATGCCCGCAACCAACTGACACTGTGGGGGCCCACTGGCAATATCCTGGACTATGCCAACAAGGAGTTTGGGGGGCTGGTGCTGGATTACTATGGTGTGCGCTGGAGCCTCTTTGTCTCAGCCCTGGTGGAGAGCCTCAACACTGGCACTCCCTTCCACCAAGACCAGTTCAACCAGGCCGTCTTCCAGGTGGAGAGGGGCTTCATCTACAATGGGAAGCGCTATTCCTCCAAGCCAGTTGGTGACACACTTGAGATCGTCCGGAAGATCTTCCTCAAATACTACCCTGGCGCCATGCAGAGGATCCGCGTGGGTGCTGCATAAAGGGGCCCTGTGTCAGAGGTGCCTGCCTGCGGGGCCAGCCTGGGCCATGGGGGAAGCAGGGAGAGGGGGCATCCATGCAGGTCACAGGCCTCTGCCTCTGCCTGGTCTCTTGCATCCCAGAGATGCAGGAATGAAGGCCCAAGGTCTCCCTCACCCTCAGCCCCTGCCAAGGCTTGGATGAAGGCCAGGAGCCTGAAGGGAGAGGCCAAGCAAGGGGCTCACATTGCATGTGCAGACTTCTCCCTGTGGGCAGGGATGGAACCAGGAGGCAGCAGTGCTGGGCTGGGAGCCCCTGCCCATCCCTGCCATGCAGCTGATGGTGAAAGTTGCTCCTAGGCGATGTACTGCAACATCTGATTCTGCACTGGCCCCCAGGGAGCTGGCTACTTCGATGGGGCCAGTCCCTGGTATCCAGTTGCAGTGTTTCAGGGAGGTGGGTAGAAGGGAGATTGTGGCTGGGTCGGGGCAATATGGGGGATTCTGAGTCAGGCATGCAGACTGCCGTGCATGGCAGGGGGCTCTCTCTTCCCTGAGAAAACTGCCTGCTGGATGGGTGGGGGTGAGGGGTGCACAGGAGAGGTGGGATTGTACATGCTGTGGCTTCTTTAACTACCACAGGGCCAAGCGAATATGGGCAGGGCCCTCCCTGCAGGCAAAGCCTGCTGTACAGGAAGCACTTTGCCTGCCACTGCCAGCTGCTCCTTATTTGCAAACAAGAGGGGAGGTTCTTCCTGGAGGTCCTGGGAAATAATTGCTTTGGAGCTGAGCAGGTGGCAGCATGGGAACCCAGCTGAGGCCAGAGGGGCAGATCTCTCAGCCTTAGCAGTGGGGAGAGACTGGCAGGGCTGGTCTTAGCGTAAGTCTGCTCTGAAATGCGCCTGGCTTTTCTGGGGGCCATGGCAGGGACACAGCACTGCTTGACTCCCAGGGTTTCCTGCAGCTCTCACCCTCTGCCCAGGCCAATGCACCTTCATGTTGACTGCCTCCACCAGCAGTCCCTAGCTTGCAGAGGTCACCTCCTGCAGCCCCGAGCCTCTGCTAGGCCCAGGGCTGTCCCTTCTCCCCTCCCTGCATACCTGAGCAGTGGCAGAGCCATGGTGGGACAGCTGGCTGTCTGTACAGGGCTCTCCCCATTGCTGCTGGCCCTACCCTGGGCTTGCATTGCCCTGGCCAGGCTGCCATGATTACCTCCCCTCTCTGTGCCAACCCACTTCACAGGACTCAGTGCCTTCAAATTAAAGCAAAGGGACACTTTACAAATATTTTTTTACTGGGATAGTATTTTTATACACTGAAGAACCGCTCCCAACACCTCTCCACCTTAAGGTTCCCCCAGGCCTTGCCCCTCATGGACCAGCTTGAGATGCCATTGAGCTCATGCTCTCTCTGCTGACTGGTTGCTCTCCTGTCTGCCAGAGCAAACCTTGCTGAGGGCTGGGGCTGCAGGGGGGTGGGGGGCATGTTAGCCTAACATTTATTATACAGCTGTATAAAAGTGCTTGGAACTGGCAGCACTTTCCTGAGGTCTTCCTTAATGTGCCTGAAGAACATAATGATTAAAGGCCTGGAATCTGATAGCTGTGTGTGTGTGTTGGGGTGAGTGCATCTGTGTGGGGGTGGGGGGTGAATGCGCTCTCCTGCTGTCATGGTAAGGGAAGCAGCTGCAAAAACTAGGAGTCTCACGGCAGATGGATGCCATCTCCCAGCCCTCCACATGCCCAGGAGCAGAGTGGGAAGGGTGGGTGCGGTGACTCACTCCCTCCTGCCAGCAGGGCACATCTGTGGGAACCGTTACTGCTGGAATTGATAGCTGCAAGCTAGCCACAATACCGTGCATGCCAGAGACTGGTGGTACAGGGGCAGCCTCTCCCTCCTCCACACACCCTTGCTTACAGGCTGGCATGGCATCATGGGACCCTGCTTTGCTCTTGAAGCCCTGTAGTGGAGTTTGCTGGTAAGGTAGCAGAATACCATTCAAGCTGCATGGAAGTGGAGTCTTAAATGAACACGCGGCTCTGAGTTGGGGTGGGGAGCACTCTGCTTGGCACCCTTTCCCTTGTGCTGTCAAAGGCTCAGGCAAAGCTTAGGGCATAGGCAGGGCCCTGGGAGAGCTGGCTCCATTCCCTGCTCTGCCACATCCTTTCTGGGTGTCCTGGGCAAGTCACTTCATCTCGAGTTGGTCAGTCTGTCCTGAATAACAGTTCCCAGGGTGGGGGGTGGAATCTTACCTGGGTGCTGGGATATAGCACCAGTTTGGTACCCAGGAAGGGTCCTGTGTTGTGACTCATAGGGCAGGATCAGACAGCTCAGCAGGTTTCTTGCCAGCCTTACTCCAAAGAGCCACATAAGGCTGTTTGGAAGCTGAAAGAGCTGAGTCAGGGGTCTAGTCTGGGGAAGGGAAGTGAGGGCAGAGGCTCTGCAGATCTGGTTGATGATGGGATGTTTTAGGGGTCCGGGGGGAGGGGGTGGTATTGTGCTATGTTCAGGGATGAAGCCAGTGTGTGTGAGAGCCCATTCTCAGAAGTAACTCGAGGCTATATCCCCCAGGCCTGATGCATGGAGGGGGATGCTCTGAAGGCCCTGGCAGTCACCTTGCTAAGGCTTCTTGCAGACTCCAGCATGGCAGGAGCTGAAATCATTTTGGGCAGAATTGGTCCAAGAACCCCTGGTTCTTATGGCAAGCATGAAGCCTTAGGGGCTTAGATACTGCTTGTTAAGGAGTCCCAGGCACTACTGCTATGTGTTATATCCCCACCAGGGAAGCAGTACTGCTTGCCAGTGGTTTGGGGCTCAAGGTCCTGGGGTCGGCACTTGGCTGTGTTCCAGGATTGGTCAGGGGCCTTGGGTGAGACATGTTATCCTTGCATCTCTGCTCGCTCTCGGAAAAGTAGGGACAGCACCCCCCTGCCCCCCCCCCCCACCCACTGGGGAGACCTTCCTAGTATCCATAAGACTCTGGGAAAGG